CCGATGGTTGTGATGTTCTTTTTACATCTCTTTGCAGGTGATGAAGCAGACAGAAGATGTTTTATCGTTGTCTCCCTTTTATCTCCTCTTTCTTTCATCTATTCTCCTTTTTCCTGTTTTTCCTTTCCTGTTCTAATTACATTGCAGCGTCCATATAATCTGTAATATTTCCTGCATAATTATAATAAAGCTATTTACATGCATAAATCAGGTGGAACACTATGGCGATAGCCATACTGCTCAACTTGTGAGAGCAAAATCTGTTGGGCCCTTTTTTGGTATCAAGACAACTATTCTTATTGCCACATTGCCAGACAGGACACTGTTAAAAAAAAAAAAAAAAAAAAGACTGAATAGGGACGGAATAGCAGTGGTATCAATTAATGGGAAACAACTCACATCTCTCTCAGCATTTTCTCTACCATAGTTTGAGCTTTTCAGTGAATTCTTTAATTTGTTCATAGATTTTCATTGTAAGGCTGAGCTCATTCAGTTTGACAAATATAGAGATGTGACAGGCGTGTCACCCACTGGGCAAACACCACAGCAAGGATGCAGATGTTCCTTCAATAACACAAATGTATCACTGTGTATTTCATAGAGTCTCAGTAGTATTTTCCCATGTGAAAAGCAGCGCACATCAGTGTGAAGCATCAGCTGCTCGTGATCTGCGGCGCTCCCATGACTAAGAGTTTCACACAGTCTGTTATTCCATGGGTCGAACCATGAGGTTGGTTGAAGCTTCTTTTTTTTTTTTATCTTCACAGCATCCAAAACAGCACTTAAGTCAGGACTAACCCTCTTTCTAGCCAGTGCTTCTGCATGAATAAGGCAATGCATTCATTTAATGTCCCGATTGACCTTTTTTATGTGTCCAAACAGTCCCTTCATTTTTCCTGTCATCACAGCCGCACCATCAGTGCAGATGTAGCTGCAGGTTTTCCACTGAAGATCATGTTCTTTGAAAAAGCTATCTATAACCTGGAAAATATTTTCTCCTGTTGTCTTTCCTGGCAGTCTTTTAAAAAATAGAACATGCTTGTTTATTACGATAAATCTTTGTAATGAAGAAAGCCCAGGCAGTGAGGATCACCACTCAAATCTGTCATCTCATCCATCTGCAAAGGGAACTGCCCAGCTTGTTCTATTTTGTTCAGCACTTGTTCAAAGATATTAACCAACATATCATTGATCCGACGGGACATGGTGTTGTCCGACATTGGAACTTTTTGACTGTGTCAGCTTTTTTTTTGTCCATCATAATTTCAGCAATAACAGTCGCTGTTGTTAAAAGCAGCTCTTCAACAATAGAGTAAAGCCTTTTTTTATTTTGCCAGAGGCAGGGATACAGTGTAAGAAACCTCCAGTGCTTTGCTTGAGACAGTCATGGCTTTCATTATTATTGTTAAGTACTGACTTAATTCTGAAAGCTTTTGTTTGTAAAAAGTCTCTGTTTTACCAATGCTCCTTGCATGTTTGGTGTTCTGGTCCTGGTGTAAATGGACTGGCTTCATTAAAATATTTGGTAGTATTTCTCCGCAAAAGAAGCCCTGGGGCTGCGGTGGGTCTGCAGAACATGAAGTGAATTCATAAAAACGATAATCTTCACTAAACCCAGAGGTTTAGATTTGGCCTCTTTTTTTCTTTCTTGGACTCCGCTGTAACCTCTCCTGAATCCAGAGGAAAAGGACGTCTTAGCCATTTATCCATGAGTGCAGCTGTTTTGGTGTGTTCTTCTATTGTGACCTTCGAATATACCTCTGTCTTCCCACTATAATAGTCTTATGATCAAGTGCCGCTCATGTAACCGGAACTACTGCCCTCTAAAGAGACACCCCTCTGGCAGAGGTTTTAAAAGAGGTAACTTCCTGGTCAACGTCCTATTATGCCGGTGTCCCTGGGCCGCTAAAGGCTAGTCTGACCATTTCCCAGCTGAAGGCTAGGCTAAGTAGCAACCAAATCCCTCCGTAGAAGTCTGAGCTCACTTGACCGAGTCAGACTGCTTTTTTCCTGCGATTCAAAAGGAGCTGAACGCAGTGTTTTTACTCTTCCTACTATTCAAATTGAGTTGAATGCAGGGTCTCCTGAAGCCTGCTGCAGCAGAGACAAAAAAGAAGCTAAACCAGCTGTGCTAACCTAAACCTAACCACCGAACCACGTGTCCCCCAATCTCTGTTCGCCGAAGAGCCGTTAGAAGCCGCCAGACCCTTGACTACCTGAGACGGAGAAACGGAGCAGCACCAAGGAGGTGCTGCTGGAGACTGTGGCTACAAGCTAACCATGGTAGCTAAATGGGAGACATCCCGTGCTACCGTGAGTTATGAAATTAACCCCCTTGCAAAATTCCCTCTTATTATTGCATAAGATATTGCTTTATCCAAATCTTTTTGAGCTACTGTTGGATGAACGGACTGGACTGAAGACTGGGCCTTAAGAAAACCGGACCGAGCCGAAGGCCTTCACTCCACCGAACCAAAACAGTAACATCATCCCTCCCCCTCCTTTTCATTTGATGCTCAATAAGTGCTCTGCTTGGGTGAACTAAGTTGAACAGATAGTTGTGTTGGTGTTTTATTTAAAATAAACTTTTTGATTCAACTGCTGATGGTTTTAAGAGTTTGCCTGAATGCTAATGCTTACTGCAGACTGAATGAGTCATGTGTTGCTGAAGCTAACTGCCACAGTGAACTGGCTAGCATCATAGCTCCAGCTACCTCAAGCTGAACACGTTATAGAGGCTACATCATGGGATAACCCTTTCTATTATTATTTTTTTTTGTTGGACCTGTCCAGACCAGAACCCCTGGGACCAGCTAAGCTAACCCATTTCCATTTCAGCCTCATTGCAGTTTAACGCATTCCTGAGTAATTTGTTTTTAACCACAAAACTGAATGAAACTTCACGGTTTGACTGCAGTTAACATCTCTTCATCAGGGTGTGGCAAGACTAGATTGAAATCAGGAAATTATAAGTTTCTGAACGCAAATGAAATTGCTCCACAACGCCACCTTGGGAATTTCACCCAAGGAATATTACTCCCCTTTTTGATAGGACACACAAGTTCGCTCATGCATGGATTAAGACATCTGAAACAATTTTAGAATGTACAAACAGCTTTTTATTAGAGGCTTCTTAAAATATTCTTTTTAAAACCATTTCTTTATAACACTAAAGAGAAAAAAAAAAGAAAAGTAACTACAGTAGCTGAGGTTACCGGCGGAAGGGGGCCACCATAGGAC